GATAAAAGCTGCATTTATCACTTGCATTCTTAAAAGCAAAAGTGGTTTAACAATTTATAAGGTTTTGGGTGTATTTTGGGAACCCTCTGGCCAAAATGCTCTCTGGCATCAGATCGGATCAGCTTCATCATAAGAATCATCATCCATATTAGCAAGGATAATTGGAATTAAGACAATCATCTAAGATAAATGTGGAACATTTGTTGAAAAAGTTGTTTGCATAGCAAATGGCGTAAACATTTATATACTTTATTATATTCAGTTCGTGAAGATTTTTTTACGTGATATCAAGTATAGAACGTTAAAAAATAAAAGTTGAAATTTGTAGAAAGTGTTAATATAAAATCGATTTAAGTTGCGAAAATACAGATAAATTTGTATTGCTTTTAATAGAAAATCCGAATATTCTAATTAAGTATAAATAAAAGGGATTGGAATAAAGGATTAAATACCATTAGAAAAGCAATTACCTGGTGCCACCATAATTTCGTTTTTCTTGCTTCTTATGCGCAGGAAGGTTAGATCGTTTGAAGGATCCAAGTCTCTCACAGCTGATCGAGCTTTAGAAGTGAGCTGCTGAATCAATGAACAATAATGTACGGTTGTTGAGTTATCAAGTGTCGTTCTAATAGGAATACCTAGAAAACGAAGTATAATTTACAAAGAGGTGGATATAAAAATGAAGAGATAAAGTTAGAAATACCATCACTGCTGACGATGATAACACCAATTACGCCTTTATGAGCCTGAATTCTTTTAAGAGTTTCTTCAACTTCCGACTAAAATCACAGAAAAATTGAGAACTTAAAAATTGCGAATAATAAAGTATAAACGTATAACTAAACTAGGCAACAGAACGGGAATTGATTTGTAGAAGTCAAAATCAATTACCTTTCCCTCTTTTGGAATCCCACGACTCTGGTAATGGTAATTTAAAATTAAATAAATTCAAAGAACGCGATAAAATCAGATAAGGACACTATAATGTAACTCACCATTATCTGGATCGAGCTGTCGCCTAGGTATCAAATGACGTATCCAAGGCAGGATACAATTTTCAACAAATACACCTACTGTAGAAAAATATCTAAACGAAAGCCATTAAAATAAATATATAAATAACTAAAAACTTTGAAAGTTTTAATCAATACATAAGAAATTTTAAAGTGTTTTAAAATGCCTACATCGACCACAATAGTTTCGAGATCCTACATAATTTAATTATTTTTCTTGATTTAAATATCGGTTTGAGGCCTTTACAAAAAGATCAAGTTTAAATGAAGAAAGGTTAAATATTTGCACGCAAATTTTCAAGGAACACGTTTAGCGATTTATGTAGAGTTTATAGATGAATATAAGTAATTTGACTATTATATGAATTTGTCTTAATTACTTTGAAATTAGCTTGGAAGGATTAGCTCTTTCATACATCTAGGCCTATGTGAAGAATGTTTCCTTTGCAATATCCTTAAAAGAATATCA